CCCCATTCTCCCTCTTTCCATGACCCCCCCCCATTCTCCCTCTTTCCATTAGCCCGCCCCATTCTCCAGCTTTCCATCACCCTGCCCTATTTGCCCCCTTTCCATTACCTCGCCCCATTCTTCTACTTTCCATCACCCCGCCCCATTCTCCCGCTTTCCATCACCCCGTCCCATTCTCCCGCTTTCCATCACCCCGCCCCATTTTCTCACTTTCCATCACCCCGCCCCATTCTCCCTCTTTCCATCCACCCCGCACCATTCTCCCACTGACGGCCCTACAACACCCATCTGCCTCGCCGTCCCCCTCGCCCCGTCCCGCCTCAGAAGGAAACAAGCAGGTTTGCGGAGGGGGTTTCGCCTCAGACAGACTTGGCCATTCCAGTGGCCACGCGGGTGCTTTGGCGGGTCGTAGCACTTTCACTGTTGACTTATGGTGACTTTTGATTATTCCTGATGGCTCCTGCCAACACACCCATATTTACCCCATTGATGTGAGCAACCCCCATCTTGGTTCATTGCCTTGCATGCACAACATTCTCTGCACTACAGACGGCCTTAAGAAACCATCCTGTCTCCCCGCTACCCCCTCCTGTCACACCTAAATCTAGAAATGTGCCGGCTGCAGCAGCTGTTGGGCTGCTGGAGGCGGGTTTGCCTCAGCTAGACCGGGAGTTCCAATGCCCAGGGAATCCACTTTCACACCACTGACTTTGGACATGCTGCTCATTTTAGAAACACATTGGTTGGAGCAGCTTCAAGTGCTGGTGGAGGCGGACTTGCTGCAGTCATACTTTGGAAGGTCATGACACTCTCGACTCGACTGCTCGTCGTAATTATGCTTCGTAGTTATGCTCCATTTCATCTCCCGTTAGCTGATTGCTAGATAGCTCAAACACGTTCGTCTGAGGGTGTCAACAAACACAAAAGTGTTCGCCGCCGCGACCAACATTTTTAGGTCGTGGGTCATTCAGTTTGAGCTCAAACCTTGGCGATCCTCCCACCCACAGCCCATACTTCCACCTGCAACAATATGAACCAGCTTAACATACACAAATTGGGTAGCGTAGTTAGTAGGGAGAGTAGATAGGATTTCGACAAAGGCTTTATAGTGCCATTTCGGGTTTAGGCCAATGAGAATCCACCTGCCCCTGCTGAAATCGTAGGCGAATTCAACATTAAGGTCAGACTAGGACTGTACACTGACTATATCGAGGGCTGTGACAGGCGAGCACGAGCGAACATGAGGGTGTTCGCCCCTAGAGGCAAACAGCGAACACCCTTTTCCCTGAAAGTGTTTGCTGTTCGGTTTGCCCAGGTGACATGTTCGTCCCCTGCTCATGCCTAGTAGTGAGGGTTGCAATGGGGTAAAATTACTAGGGAGTTGAAGCTCACCGAGCTCCAACTTGGCACGAATCAATAACTTTGATGTGCTCAGTGTCCCGATTTGCATTGTTTGGAGTCAAACCGGTTTAGCTGATGACATTTTTTTTTTTACCTCAAACCAGTTCGACGTGCCTCACCCTACTAACTTTTGAAGTCAGTCAGGGTTGTACCTAAATTTGAGTAGGCGGTGAGATGTAACCTTTCAATTATGGAATCTTTGAGGTTGAAACAACCTGCATGAATTTAGATTCTCCATGAGTTTGTCGGACAGGCCTTCACATACGATGGGCTCTATAAGGTGCGTCCCACTTTAAGAGCTTATATGAATGCTTCGTGGGCCCATGTTAGCAACGGTCGGGTGCCGTACCTTGTCGCGGCGCGCGTTGTGCAGTTCATGTATCACCACCTATCTCCTGCTTCTCGTCCCTCAACAACCTTTCACGCCTCAAATCCAGCTGTCTGCTCCACCACACATGCCCTGTTTCTCAAGAACTGGCAGGCGGGGGTGCGAGTGCGGGGATTTTCAACATCTATCCAGCCTCCTTTACCTCCTATGGTTCGCCCATCTCTCCACCTTCGCCCCCCCCCAGAATCGTCATACAGCGGGCGCGCGGACACGGGGGCGCAAACAATTTCCTCCTAGGACGCCAATTCCCAATTCCTTTTTCTCCTCCCCCAATTCCTTTTCCTCCTCCAATTTTCTTTCCTCCTCCAATTTTTTTTCCTCCTCCAATTTCTTCTCTTTTTCCTCCAATTCCTCTTCCTCCTCTAATTCTTTTTCTCTCCTCCTCCAATCCTCCAATCCATTTTTCTCCTCCCCCAATTATTCTTCCCCCTCCTTCGATGTCTTCTCCTTTTCCTCCACCTCCAATTCTAACCGGTCGTCGAGCGACCAGCGACCTCGCGCGACCAGCGACCTCACGCGACCAGCGCGACCTGCGACCTCGCGCGACCTGTGACCTCACGCGATCTGCAAGGTTGTTGCCAAATGCTGCTCGCCGCGTCCTCGTCGTCCTCGTATCTTCTAGAGACCACCACAGCCCTTTATATTTCTACATTTTTTTTTACCTTTGTACTTATACCTTTTATACGTTTTATACTTTTATAAATTCATACGATATATACTTTTATACATTTTATACTTTTATATTAAAGTATACAACGTATACATTTTATATTGAAAAATAAAAGTATAAAGATATAAAACGTATAGATATTATAAAAGTATTAAAAATGTTGTTGCCACCCTGTCCGATGTACCAAATGCTGCTCGCCGCGTCCTCGTCGTCCTCGTATCTTCCAGAGACCACCACAGCCATATTATTGCCGCGTCCTCGTTGTCCTCGTATCCTCAAAATACTGTTGCCACTGCCGCGGCCTTATTGCCACATCCATTACATTTCGTGTGTTCGCATTGCCAAAAGGCATTATATCAAATAACTACAAATTAACAAAATACATTCTCGTTCACAACCACAATTCTCAGCCCTTGTAAGATTCTCGTCGTATCGAAATCTGAAAACGATAAAAACTGAATATTTGCGTCGCTGAATGCGTCCAAAACCCCCTGGCCCGTGCGATGTCGCAACTGTCGGCAACTGTCGGCACGTCACCCGTCGAACGCTTACATGACGCCGAAGCACCGCTCCCACCCGCTCATGTCCACCACCTTTTTTGTCTTGTCCCTTGTCAAACATTGTATGTTTATATTGTTTAGGCTATAGTGGGTTTAGCCTTAGAGGGTACACAAACTTAGGGTTTCATACTTGTACCCACCTTCCTGCTAGTTCATCCATTCTCGTTCTATTCTAGATTCTGACATGGTATCAGAAGCCTAGGTTGCTACCTAGGACCGCTTTCTACAATGGGCCCACTATTCCGCTAGGCGCGCCCTCGTGCGCCCTACCTTACGTGCGCCCTCGTGCGCCCTACCTTACGTGCGCCCTCGTGCGCTCTACCTTACGTGCGCCCTCGTGCGCCTTTCTCTGCTAGTGCGCCTTCGTGCGCCCTCGTGCGCCCTCGTGCGCCCTCGTGCGCCCTCGTGCGCCCTCGTGCGCCCTCGTACGCCCTCGTGCGCCCTCGTGCGCCCTCGTGCGCCCTCGTACGCCCTCGTGCGCCCTCGTGCGCTCTCGAGCTGCCCCTGAAGGTCTGTCAGGCCCCCGAGCCGCCGCTGCAGGCCCGTCAGGCCCGAGAGCCGCCCCTGCACACCCGTCAGGCCCGCGCGCAGCCTCTGCACGACCGCGCGCCGCCCCTGCAGGCTCTCGCCGCCCGCCGCGTCGCCCTGCCCGTGGCGTCGCCGCCTTCCCGCGGCGTCGTTGCCTGCCCGCGACGTAGCCCCTGTCCGCGGCGTCGTCGCCTGCCCGCGGCGTCGTCGCCTGCCCGCGGCGTCGTCGCCTGCCCGCGGCGTCGTCGCCTGCCCGCGGCGTCGCCGCCTGCCCGCGGCGTCGTCGCCTGCTCGCGGCGTCGTCGCCTGCCCGCGGCGTCGTCGCCTGCCCGCGGCGTCGTCGCCTGCCCGCGGCGCCGTCGCCTGCCCGCGGCGTCGTCCCCTGCCCGCGGCGTCGGCGCCTGCCCGCGGCGTCGTCGCCTACCCGCGGCGTCGCCACCTGCTAGCGGCGTCGCCCTACTCGCGGCGTCGCCACCTGCCCGCCGCGTCGCCCTGCCCGCGGCGTCGCCACCTGCCCGCCGCGTCGCCCTGACCTAATCCGCCTCTCGCCCCTGGAGCAGCCGCCACTGCAGCAGCAGCCCCTGGAGCCGCCCGCCACTGCAGCAGCAGCCCCTGGAGCCGCTCGCCACTGCAGCAGCCGCCCCTGGAGCCGCCCGTCACTGCAGCAGCCGCCCCTGGAGCAGCCTGCACCTGCAGCAGCCGCCCCTGGAACAGCCCGCACCTGCAGCAGCCGCCCCTGGAGCAGCCCGCACCTGCAGCAGCCGCCCCAGTGGCACCTGGAGCAGCTGCCGTCGCGGCCCAGCCTCGCCCTGCCGCAGCTGCCGCGGAGCTCCCTGCTGCGGCCCGGCCCAGCCCTGCAGTTGTAGCGGCCCCACTGTCGCCACCGTCTTGCGCCTGCCGCGCCGACCACTGGTGAGCATTGCCCAGTACTGCTGCAACTGCCTTTTCTACTCCCACTGCCACTGCTCCTGCTGTTACTACTGTTACTGCCGCTACTGCTACTACTGCTGCTCCTGACGTGGCCAGATGCAGCTCCAGGGCTGTGCGCGTGAGTCCCCCACGCCCCAGCAGCTTCGTGCGCGTGAGTGGTACGCTAGTCGGGGCCGTCGGGGTGGCCGTAGTGGTAGTCGCTCTGGAGTGGGTCGGTCGGGAGCTTCTGGTAGTGGACAGGTGCAGCTGCCGTGTCCTCCTTCGCCCCAGCTGCTTCGTGCGCGTGAGTGGTACGCTAGTTTGGGCTGTCGGGGTGGCCGTAGTGGTAGTCGCTCTGGAGTGTATCAACAGGACTAAGCAAGAATGTGTCATTGAATGGAAGAATTGGGTACAAGTAGCAAACCCTAGTTGGGGTTGTACCCCATACTGGCTACCCCACTACAGCCTACCAACATAACACAGTTTAACACACCCCCATAGGCAAAGTGGGGGAGAACAAAGGGTCACAAGACCAGTCTAGCAAAGCAAAGCAAGCCCAGGGTGGATCACAACGTCACCACACTCCGAGCACAAGCAAAGGCCACAAGGCCAGTTCACATGCAGTGCTAGATATAGTACAAGACAAGCAACACAGTGATCAAGACCTAGCAAGCAAGCAACGAGATATATATAAAGGACAGTACAAAGAAAGTCAAGCAGTAAGCAAATGAGGGAATGTGGACACAAGGCCTAAGGAAGTACAGTGCCGCTGATGATCACTAGGCGGGAGCGCCTTGGTGAAGATATCAGCAGTGTTGGCCTTCGAGTCCACGTACACAAGCCGAAGCTGACCTCGCTGCTGCAGCTCTCGAGCAAGAAAGTAGCGAAGAGCAATGTGCTTCGTCCTGTGCTCCAGTCTGTGCTCCTGACACAAGGCAAGGGCCGCCTTGTTGTCACCGTACAGAACTGGAGGAGAACTAGGCCGCTCTCCCAAGTCAGTCAGCAGGTAGGTGAGCCAGCGTAACTCCTGGGCAGCCATGGCTGTGGCGTAGATCTCAGCCTCACAACTAGAGCCGAGAACAGAAGAAGAGCGGGTGGACCGCCACGAGACAGAACCAAAGCCAAGGCTGAAGGTGTAACCCTGTGACGACCGCTGCGTAGCCAGGTCGTCCACCCAAGAAGCGTCCGAGTGGCCAGTGAGGACAACTCTGTCGTGTCCTCCAAGCACCAGCCCCATGCCTGATGTACTGCACAAGTAGCGCAGCACCCTCTTAGCAGCCTCCCAGTGCTCTCGCCTGTGTCTCCCAGGCGCAACGTAACGAGCAAGGATGCTAAGAGGGTACGCGAGGTCAGGTCGCGTGCAAGTCATCAGGTACATGAGGCAGCCCACAAGCTCTGGGTACAGGCCACTCGGCTCTACGGACTCGTCCGGAGGTGGAGCTGAGAGCGAGTGGCTGGTAGCCAGAGGTGTGGCCTGTGGTGAGGAGAACTGGAAGCCGAAGCGCTGAAGGACCTGCTGCACCATGTGTGACTGAGTCAGGGTGATGGTGCGGCGAGCTCTGTCCCGGGTGATCTGCAAGCCAAGGTAGCTACGCAGCTCACCCAGGTCAGTGCAGGTGTGTCTCTTCTGCAGCTCCGACTTCACACGAGCGAGTGCCTCAGTGTCAGCAGTAGCAAAGACCAAGTCGTCGACGTACACGAGAATGTAGAACGGCGGCAGCGACGTGTCTGTGCGCAGAAACAGCGACGGGTCAGCAGTAGACGGCGCGAACCCAAGAGCCGCAAGTGTAGTCCTCAGTGTGTCGTGCCACTCGCGTGGCGCCTGGCGGAGACCGTAGACTGGCCGGCGGAGGCTCCACTGGGTACCAGGAGGAAACGACCCAGTAAAGCCAGGTGGGCGGCGCAGCCAGATCTCCTCGTGCAGGCTGCCCTGCAGGAACGCTGTGCTGAAGTCAAGAGAGTGAAGCTCGTAGTCACGGTGAGCAGCAACGTGCAGCAGAACCCGAAGAGTGGTCATCTTCGGGGTGGGGGAGAAGGTCTGGAAGAAGTCGACCCCCTGACGCTGACTGAAGCCTCTAGCAACGTAACGAGCCTTGAAGACAGGCGGAGAACCTGGCGGCCGCTTCACCCTGAAAATCCACATGCCATCGACGATGTTCGCCCCAGGAGGGGGAACCTCGTCGACGTAGGTGCCTGTGGACTTCCAGGATGCCATCTCTGCGTCCATGGCTGTCTGCCACTGAGAGGAGTAGGGACCCGAGATCGCCTCTGCGTAAGTGCGCGGGGTCGGGATGTCTGGTGCATCCGGGTCTCCCTCAGGGGCAAGCAACCAGGCCACGAGATGAGGTACAGCAGCCGCGAGAGAGTCAAAGTCCTCCTGCCTGTCCTCAAGGACGTCCGTGCCAAGAGCACACTCACCCCCGACGGACGGAGGACAGACAGACGCAGACTCAGACCCAGCAACAAGGCGAGCAGCGTAGTCTAGACGACAGGCAGCAGCAAAGTCAACCAACTCAGCGACCAGAGCAGACGCAGCCGAGGACTCAAAGGTAGGGTCAGTGACAACAGTAGCTAGGAGACGCGTGACAGTAGGGTGCTCAGCACGATACCGGTCAGACTCAGGGTCCGGAACAGCAGGCAAAGAGGACGCAGGAGGAGACGGCAGTGGGACACGCTGAGGAGCAGTAGAGGGACGCAGAGTCATGTAGTGAGTGCCTGGGACAGGAGGAGGACGCTCACGACGGACACGACGACCAGTGCGAGCAGTACGGACAGGCGACGCAGGACGAGACTCAGGCTCACGACGCTCTGTAAGACCTCCTGTGGGACCAGTGTAAGGAGAGGGAGCAGGGAGAGGCGAGGCAGGCGGTAACTGTGACTGCGGCTGGACAGTCGGAGGACACTCTACGGAGGGAGGAGGACAAGGAGGAGGAGCCTGCCCAAGAACCTGCTGAAGGAGCGGTACGAAGTACGGCCGCGGCCGCGCAGCGTCTCCAGAAGTAGAAGAGACTCCAGCGTCCGGGTCCCCAGCACCAGCAGCAGCGCCACCGCTCGGGTCCTCAGCTCCAGCAGCAGCTCCACCAGGTGGGTCCGCAGCACCAGCAGCAGCACCACCCCCAGGGTCCGCAGCACCGCAAGGAAGAGCACCCCCAGAGTCGGCAGCTACAACTCCGCTAGCGCCGCCAGCTCCAGAGTCCCCAGCTCCAGCAGCTCCAGTCGTAGTGCTCCCAGAACAACCAGTCCCGGCAGCTCCAGTACCCCCAGCTCCAGCCGAGCCACTAGGACGGCGAAAGCGCCGGACGTACCAGTCACGAAGCTGCTGTGGTGTGAGAGACTGCTCAACACCCCGAACCGGAGCACCCCCAGACGCAGCAACCCGAGGCTCCGTAGGCTCAGTAGCAGCACCCCCAGGCTCAGTACCCGCAGGCGCAGCACCCCCAGACTCAGCACCCCCAGACTCCGCACACGCCGGCTCAGCACCCCCAGTCGCAGCACCCCCAGGCTCAGCACCCCCAGGCGCCGAACTCTCAGGCACAGTACCCTCAGCTCCAGCACCCGTAGTCCCAGCACCCCCAGGCCCAGCACCCGCAGGCTCAGCACTCCCAGCAGCACCACCTGCAGCAGCACCTGAGTCACCTGTGACCTCGACAGGCTCAGCGACGGGAGGAGGGTCTACCTGAGAGACACCTGAAGGAGCAGGACCCTGAGGGGGAAGGGGGTCTACCGGAGGGGGACCAGGAGCAAGGAAAAGCGGCGGGGGAGGGAGGGGGGCAGTACGGTAGGGGAAGAGACGGTAAAAAGGGACCGACTCGTCAAAGGTGACGTCCTGAGAGGCGAAGACCCGGCGCGAGGTGGGGTGGTAAAACTGCCAGCCCGGCGCGTCAGGGACAAAGCCAAGGAAGACACAGGGAAGCGTGCGGGAGGAGAGCTTGTCCGCGGAAGTATCGCGGACAAGGGCACGAGCACCCCACACCCGGAAGCGCGACGCATCGCCAACCTCCCCCGTCCAACGCAGTGTGGGCGAGGTCTCCGGCAAGGAGACACGGGGCCAGAGGTTGAGCTGATGCGCGGCGTACCAGACAGCAAACGGCCACAGAAAATGGGGAGCCGCCGCGTGGACCAAGGAGGTACGAGCGACCTCCATGACCAGGCCAATGCGGCGCTCAGCAACCCCATTCTGCTGTGGGGAGTCCGGAAGCGTGAAGGTCTGCTCGATGCCCTCCGCCTGACAGAAGGTCCTCAAGAGGTCCGAGGAAAAACTCACCACCTCTGTCAGAGTGCAGACGCAGGACAGGAAGATCCGTCCGGAAACGGCGGCGGAGCTGGAGACGAACTGTGCGGATCCAAGGGATCAGAACAGCAGGGACCTCACCCTTGGTGCGCAAGGGGAAGACCGTGGTGTAACGCGAGTAGTCGTCGACAACCAGCAAAAAGTACCGCTCACCGCCCTGGCCACGAACGCGGGCTGGGCCCCACACGTCCAGGTGGAGGGTCTGCAGAGGAGCCCCTGTCGGGGGGAACGAGGAGGAGTGAGGAGCGGCGCGCTGCCGCCCCTCGACGCAAGGAAGGCAAGGCGGCGCAGGCGGGAGGGAGAGGAGGGAGGGACCTGGGAAGACCAGACACAAGGCGGCGACGGTGCATGCCACGGAGGCGTGGCAAGGAGGGGTGACCCAGGCGATGGTGCCAGAGAAGAGTCTGGTGCGACAGGGAACGACACTCACAGGCGTGGGCCACCAGACCTGACGCGGACACCTGACCGACAGCAGCGACCTGAGGAGACGCAGTGGTCAGTGTGTAGAGACTCGACCCCGGCCGACGAGTAAACGTAGCCAGGTGACGGCCGGTCCTGGAGCACGTGCAGATCGCCACACGCTGTCCTCCAGGGGTAAAGGTGTCAACCCACTGATCCTGGATGACAGCGTTGCTCACCAGGTTCGTCGAGAACGAGGGGAGGTGGAAACCTGTCAACGAGCCAGACGGAACCGCCGGACAAGGGAGCACAGTGGTGGACTGGGCAAGGACTGGGCCCCCAGAGGGGTCAGCCAAGGAGACTGGGACCGGTGCAGGAAGCGGTGTGAGCTCAGTACTGTCTCGAAAGAAGCAGCGGGAAGCACCTGAGTCAAGGGTGAAGGTGTGACAGGTCTCAGCCGGTGCAGTACCTGAGAGAGCAGTCTCTGTGGGTGCTGTACCTGAGAGAGCAGACTCGCAAGCAGCAGGGACAGTGCTGGAGGGAGCAGGTACAGGGGGCACCATACCAGAGAGAGCAGACTCACTAGTACCTAGGGCAGCGGGCCCTATACCTGGGTCAGGCGGCACACACAAGTAACAGTCTCCCTCGGCACTAACAGTCAATGCATACATGGCAGCAATAATAGCATCATAGTCAAGAGCAAAGATATCAACACCAGCCCTCATCAGCTCAGCCCAGCGAGGGCGCTCAACATCCTCGCCCATCTCCTCACGCCAAGCGTCGTCAAGGCGGAAGAAGCAGCGGTACTGAGTGTGGAACTTTCCACACGTCTGCCCCTTGCGATCACCTGTGCGAATGACATAGGAACAGCGGCCACTGCCCCCCGACGTCCCACGCTGAGCAAGCCACTCACGAAGCTGCTGGGTCGACTGGGGACGCTGCTGCTGCTGGGAGCTCTGGCCCGAGCCGGTGCCTCCACTCCGACCTCCACCGCCGCCACTACCTCCGCTCCGACCGCCACCGCCACCGCCACTACCGCCACCGCCGCCACTGCCGCCGCTGCCACCACCGCCACTGCTCCCGCCGCCGCCCCCGCCTCCGCCGCCGGCCCCACTCCCACCGGCACTCCCGCCACCGCTCCCTCCAGCACCGCCTCCCCCCCCACCTCCCCCACCCCCTCCCCCCCCAGCGCCACCCCCGCCACCCTTGCCCCCCTTGCCCTTGCCGGTGCGGCGCCTCCCACCAGGAGCAGAAGCAGCGCCAGCAGACTCAGCACCAAGGAAGTCAACAGCAGCAGCAGTAGCATAGGAGGGAGCGAGGGGAGAGGGAGAGCACCCCTCAAAGATGGGGGTGCGAGGAGCGCCGCGAGCAGCACCTACAGCTACAATGCTCTTCTCGGCTGCTAGCAGCTTCTCCTCTAGGAGGGCGACAGTGAGCTCAGTGGGACAGCGAGCAAGGAAATAGTCGCGCACTGAGCTGAGGGTGTCAGGGAGACGGGTGACTATGAAGTGGAGTGCCCAGTACAGAGGAGGGGGTTCTTAGCGCAGAACTCGGTGGGAAGGGCGGCACGCAGGCGAGCATCACTAGTGCGAAGGTGGGTGATAAGATCGGCGACTGTAGCAAAGGTGGACAGGTCAGGGAACAGGTAAGGCAGCATGAGACGGCTAAGCTCGGCTGTGGCAGGTGAGGAGTAGCGAGCAACGACAGCGTCGTATAGGGCTTTAGCGGTTTTGCAGTCGCCAAAGTGCTCTAGCTCAGCTAACGGCAGGTGACTGCGAATAGCCAGGCGAGCTGCAGCGTCACGAGTCTGCCACTGTGAACGTACACTAAGCTCGGCTGTGGCAGCAGGAGCAGCGGCAGCACCAGACGCGTAGTCATAGAGGGAGATGTGGTCCGTGCTATTGCTCATAAGATACAACTGCAGGTCGTCGAGCCAGGAAGTGAACTGCACGGGACGGCCCTCAGCATCGAAGGAAAGAACGCGAATAGAGGCCATAGCTCAGGCGTGAGGGCACAGCAGAGCAGCGGCAGCAGCAGAGGGGACGCGCTAGAGCGAAGCTAGCAGCCACAGCAGGAGCAAGCGGCGGTGCACAGGCAAGGCAGTGCGGAGGGCGGCTGCGAAGCGGGCAGCGGGCGGGCGGGCGACGCTGCAAGCGGGCAGCGGGCGGGCGGGCGACGCTGCAAGCGGGCAGCGAGGCGGGCGGGCGACGCTGCAAGCGGGCAGCGGGCGGGCGGGCGACGCTGCGAGCGGGCAGCGAGCGAGCGGGCGACGCTGCGAAGCGGGCAGCGGGCGGGCGGGCGACGCTGCGAGCGGGCAGCAAGCGGGCGGGCGACGCTGCGAAGCGGGCAGCGGGCGGGCGACGCTGCGAGCGGGCAGCGAAGCGGGCGGGCCGCGAAGCGGGCAGCGAGCGGGCGGGCGGGCTGCGAAGCGGGCAGCGGGGCGAGCGGGCTGCGAAGCGGGCAGCGGGGCGAGCGGGCGACGCTGCGAGCAGGCAGCGCGGCGGGCGGGCGGCGAGCGGGCGGCTCGGCGGGCGGGCGACGCTGCTAACGAGGGTGCGCGAGGGCGCTAACGAGGGGCGCTTCGAGGGCGCTAGCGAGGGCGCGCGAGGGCGCTAACGAGGGGCGCGCGAGGGCGCTAACGAGGGCGCGCGAGGGCGCTAACGAGGGCGCACGAGGGCGCTAACGAGGACGCACGAGGGCGCTACGAGGCTAGGGCACGGGGTAGCGTGGTAACCGCATGCGAGCGGTGGTGGGCCCTTAAAAGAAACGGTCGATAGGTCCTAGGGACCTCCTGCTCTGAATACCATATCAACAGGACTAAGCAAGAATGTGTCATTGAATGGAAGAATTGGGTACAAGTAGCAAACCCTAGTTGGGGTTGTACCCCATACTGGCTACCCCACTACAGCCTACCAACATAACACAGTTTAACAGAGTGCATCGGTCGGGAGCTTCTGGTAGTGGACAGGTGCAGCAGCCGTGTCCTCCTTCGCCCCAGCTGCCGTGTCCTCCTTCGCCCCAGCTGCTTCGTGCGCGTGAGTGGTACGCTAGTTTGGGCTGTCGGAGTGGCCGTAGTGGTAGTCGCTCTGGAGTGCATCGGTCGGGAGCTTCTGGTAGTGGACAGGTGCAGCAGCCGTGTCCTCCTTCGCCCCAGCTGCTTCGTGCGCGTGAGTGGTACGCTAGTTTGAGCTGTCGGAGTGGCCGTAGTGGTAGTCGCTCTGGAGTGCATCGGTCGGGAGCTTCTGGTAGTGGACAGGTGCAGCAGCCGTGTCCTCCTTCGCCCCAGCTGCTTCGTGCGCGTGAGTGGTACGCTAGTTTGGGCTGTCGGAGTGGCCGTAGTGGTAGTCGCTCTGGAGTGCATCGGTCGGGAGCTTCTGGTAGTGGACAGGTGCAGCAGCCGTGTCCTCCTTCGCCCCAGCTGCTTCGTGCGCGTGAGTGGTACGCTAGTTTGAGCTGTCGGAGTGGCCGTAGTGGTAGTCGCTCTGGAGTGCATCGTTCGGGAGCTTCTGGTAGTGGACAGGTGCAGCTGCCGTGTCCTGTCAGTGAGGCTGCCGCTCTAGGTGCTAGTACGTCTGTTGCCCTAGGTGCTGGTGAGGCTGCTACTCTAGGTCCTAGTGAGTCTGCGCCCCCTGGTACTGAGTCGACTGAGGCCCTGCACACCTTCACCCTGGACTCAGGTGCTTCTCGCTGTTTCTTTCGTGACCGCACTGCCCTTGAGCCGCTTGCTCGGCCAGTTGCTGTCTCCCTCGCTGACCCCTCTGGGGGTCCGGTCATTGCGACCTCCTCCACTGTTCTTCCCTGTCCTGCGGTCCCGTCGGGCACACTGTCAGGTCTCCACCTCCCCTCGTTCTCTACGAACTTGGTGGCGGGTTGTGCGCTCCAGGATGCGGGTGTTCACCAGTTCACCCCTGCCTACGAGCGCGTGACACACTTCACGTGTGCTCGGACGGGCCGTCACCTGGCTACCTTCACTCGGCAGCCGGGGTCGGACCTGTACACACTGACCACTGAGTCCCCTCAGGTAGCTGCGTCCGCGTCTGCGTCAGGTCAGCTGTCGGCCCCCTGCTCGTGTCGCTCTCTGGCGCACGACACCGTTCTCTGGCACCACCGACTTGGCCACCCGTCTGTGCAGCGCCTTCGTGCCATGCACAAACGGCAGCTTGTCTCTGGTCTTCCCAGGGTGCTCCCTCCCCTCCCACCCTCGCCTGCTCCTCCCTGTCTTCCCTGTGTCGAGGGGCGGCAGCGCGCCGCTCCTCACTCCTCCTCCTTTCCCCCGACGACTGCTCCCCTGCAGACGCTCCACCTGGACGTGTGGGGCCCAGCCCGCGTCCGTGGACAGGGTCAAGAGAGGTACTTCCTGATTGTTGTTGACGACTACTCTCGCTACACCACGGTCTTCCCCTTGCGCACCAAGGGTGAGGTCCCTGATGTCTTGATCCCTTGGATCAGCAGAGCTCGTCTCCAGCTCAGCGAGCGTTTCCGCTCGGACTTTCCTGTCCTGCGTTTGCACTCTGACAGAGGTGGTGAGTTCACCTCCGACCTTCTGGCAGCCTACTGTGCCGAGCACGGCATTGAGCAGTCGTTCACGCTTCCGGCCTCTCCGCAGCAGAATGGGGTTGCTGAGCGCCGCATTGGCTTGGTCATGGAGGTCGCTCGTACCTCCCTGATCCATGCGGCTGCTCCCCACTTTCTGTGGCCGTTTGCAGTCCGATACGCTGCGCATCAGCTCAACCTCTGGCCCCGTGTCTCCTTGCCGGAGACTTCCCCGACACTGCGTTGGACGGGAGAGGTTGGCGATGCGTCGCGTTTCCGGGTCTGGGGATCCCGAGCTTTTGTTCGCGACACGTCCGCGGACAAGCTCTCCCGTCGCGCTGTTCCTTGTATCTTCCTTGGCTTTGTCCCGGACGCCCCTGGTTGGCAGTTTTACCACGTCACCTCGCGCCGGGTTCTGCCCTCTCAGGACGTCACTTTTGACGAGTCCGTCCCCTACTACCGCCTCTTCCCCTACCGCACTGCCCCGCTCCCTCCCCCGCCTCTCTTCCTCGCGCCAGGTGCTGCTGTGGTAGACCCCCTCCCCCCTCAGGGTGCCGCTCCCTCAGGTGTGTCCCAGGTAGACCCGGTTGAGCCTGTCGAGGTCGCTGTCGACTCTCGTCCTGCTAGGGGTGCTGCGCCTGCGAGTGAGGAGCATGGCGGTGCTGAGTCTGGGGTTGCGGAGCCTGGGGGTGCTGAGCCTGGGGGTACTGAGCCTGGGGGTGCGGAGCCTGGGGGTGCAGACCTTGGAGGTGCGGAGCCTGGGGGTGCTGAGCCTGGAGGTGCTGAGTCTGGGGGTGCTGAGCCTGAGAGTGCCACACCTGGAGGAGCCCTCTCCTCGCAGCAGCTGCAGGAGAGGTACCTACAGTACTGCGACCTCCGGAGAGGTGCTGCTGGAGCGGGTACCAGTGCTTCCCCTCCTACCCGGGAGCTCCCCTCCCTTCAGCAGATCCGAGAGTGGTACACACGGCGCTGCAGCCTTCGGAGTGGCGCTCCTAGTGCTGCGGACCCTGGAGTTGGAGCTGCTGCTGGTGCTGAGGACCCGAGCGGTGGAGCTACTGCTGGTGCTAAGGACCCGAGCGTTGAAGCTGCTGCTGGCGCTGAGGACCCGAGGGGTGGAGCTGCTGCTGGTGCTGAGGACCCGGGCAGTGGAGCTGCTGCTGGTGCTGAGGACCCGGGCGGTGGAGCTACTGCTGGTGCTGAGGACCCTGGCGCTGGTGTCTCTGGTGGTTCTGGAGACGCTGCGCGGCCGCGACCGTACTTCGTACCACTCCTTCAGCAGGTTCTTGGTCAGGCTCCTCCTCCTTGTCCTGCTCCCTCCTTAGAGTGTCCTCCGCCTGTCCAGTCGCAGTCCCAGTTACCGCCTGCCTCGCCTCTCCCTGGTCCCTCTCCTTACACTGGTCCCACAGGAGGTCTTACGGAGCGTCGTGAGCCTGAGTCTCGTCCTGCGTCGCCTGTTCGTACTGCTCGCACTGGTCGTCGTGTCCCACGTGAGCGTCCTCCTCCTGTCCCTGGCACTCACTACATGACCCTGCGTCCCTCCACTGCTCCTCAGCGTGTCCCTCTACCGTCTCCTCCTGCGTCCTCTCTACCTACTCTTCCTGACCCGGAGTCTGACTCCCGTCGTGCTGCCAGTCCCACTGTCACGCGTCTCCTCGCCACTGTTGTCACTGACCCTACCTTTGAGTCCTCTGCTGCGTCTGCTCTGGTCGCTGAGTTGGTTGACTTTGCTGCCCGGTGTCGTCTAGACTACGCCGCTAGCCTTGTTGCTGAGTCTGAGTCTGTCTGTCCTCCGTCCGTCGGGGGTGAGTGTGCTCTTGGCATGGACGTCCTTGAGGACAGACAGGAGGAGTTCCAGTGCTTTGCTGCTGCTTTGCCCCATCTCGTGTCCATGCTAGTTGCCCCTGAGGGAGACCCGGATGCACCAGACATCCCGACCCCGCGCTCTTACGCAGAGGCGATAGAGGGTCCCTACTCCTCTCAGTGGCAGACAGCTATGGACGCAGAGATGGCTTCCTGGAAGTCCACAGGCACCTACGTCGACGAGGTTCCCCCACCTGGGGCGAACATCGTCAGTGGCATGTGGATTTTCAGGGTGAAGCGGCCGCCGGGTTCTCCTCCTGTCTTCAAGGCGCGCTACGTTGCTCGAGGCTTCAGTCAGCGAGAGGGAGTAGACTTCTTCCAGACCTTCTCCCCCACCCCGAAGATGACTACTCTTCGGGTGCTGCTGCACATAGCCGCTCAGCGCGACTACGAGCTTCACTCACTTGACTTCAGCACAGCTTTCTTGCAGGGCAGCCTGCACGAGGAGATCTGGCTGCGTCGCCCTCCTGGCTTCACTGGGTCGGTTCCTCCTGGCACCCAGTGGAGGCTCCAGCGACCGGTCTACGGTCTCCGCCAGGCGCCGCGTGAGTGGCACGACACACTGAGGACTACACTTGCGGCTCTTGGGTTCGCTCCTTCTAC